ATACTACTGAAAGTATGACGGATTAACTAAAGTATTATGAAAGGATCGGGTGGTCCTTACTTATTTGAGTGGTATATCGAAATAGCACTCCCAGTTGTCATCGGTGTTGCACGACAATGCTGACTACCAGTTATAAATGCAATTATTCCACCCTAAATGGTCATTTATCTTGTTAATTTGGCATTAAGATTTACAAGGGATCCTTTTGACTAATGACAACATCCTCCTGTGCTCAGCTTTCAATGGAGTTCCCCAAGGGTGGGCTAGTAAATCCCTGAATTTGTCAGTTGACTGGACGACCTGTGTTGATTGCTGCTGCAATTCATGGATCATGTATGTCAGTGAGATTGATATGTTGCTTCATAATTGCCTGGACCCTGTTGGTAATTAGATGATAACTTCCTTAAAAAAAGAACTTCTGCAAATTATGTATGTTCCGTTTTCTCTATACTGACCTTGAAAATTGAAGAAATTGTCTTTCAACTGTTTTGATTGTACCCTTAATTTTTAAGAAGTTGGAAAATAACTACAAACTGAAATTCTGTTTGATTTAAATTATTTATCTTTGTTTGTATTTTTATTAACATGTTAACTTGCCACTTGGCATTCTAATCCCGTATAGAAAAATGGAAAAATGCTACACAGAATGAAATCTGAATTTTGCTTTGTTTAAACACAAGTACGGTTTTCCAAGCACAGCGCTCGTTTTCAACCTATTATTATACTTGATTTTTACTAGATAATTTGTATTGTTGACAAGAACCATTTGTCATTTGATTCTAAAATGTATGAGGAGTTCAGGGATGTATGTATCGCAGCTGAGTTTGAAATATATGTAATCTAATAGGCATTTCTTAACCGGCATATGTGAAAATGTGATTTTGTAATCACTATCACATATGGCGGAAAATACACTTCAGCGTTTGTGTTTGCGTATTTTCCAAATATTCCAATCGATTCTTGGCTTATCAGTGATGTTTCAGAATTATCAATAGTGATTTGATGAAAAACAGATACCCGTGATCACTAAAATGATATTTTTTAAATTCAATTCTTCGAGTAAATGCCTGATATTTAGATATCTAAATATACAGTAAATAACGCCGTGAATGGTGACTTAGTAATGTATCAAAATTAGTGAGATTTCCGGAGTACCTAATTTTCAGATGTCATTTTCATTCATTTTGATTAGCCTAAACAGACAGTGGATGATATCAAAGAACAGGGAATTTCCCTCAGAATTCAAACCCGTGAAGTGCATTAGCATGCGTGTTGTAGTTTGAAGTTTATTCAACTTCGAAGTAAGGGTTGAAGAGGAGGGACAAATGTCCCTGTGGCATCCAGGAGGTAAAACCATAACATTTAACACAGATGTAGATGAACTTTCGACTGAAGCACGAGTAACTTAGCAATGAGACGTCCTAGGGCTGGGACGGGTACCCGGGTCGGGTGGGAACTGAGTAGGACTGGGTTCCTATACTGGACTACCCGGACCCCTGGTTAGTCACGTGATATATTGTTTAATGACAAAAAAGTATCTAGAACTCTGTGGTTACACTACAAGTCACAAATGTTCACATTCCTTCGGACTTTTATATCTTTGAATAAAGATATAACTTGAGTCAACTTCAGTGTATGCATGACCAGATTGTTTATACAGTTATCTAAATACGTTTTGCCAGTGCTATGGTAATAAAATGCCCAATCGGACATTTTGTACCTATCTCTTGAGACCTACAGTGGGTACCTGGGTTGGGTCGGGTAATAGGGGGGTGGGTACCCGGGTAGTAATTTCGGACTCATCCAAGCCCTAAGTAGTCCGTCATAATCGGACCTCAGGTCATCACCATGGAGTAGCCAATCACGAACCTGGAATTTGATCTCGCACCTATGTGTATGATACCATCCACTATCAGTTTAAGCATATGTGTGATACCAGTTATCTCAAATGGGTTTCTCACCCATAGGTGTAAGAAATTGTGTGATGGAATGTCTAACAGTAGGAATGAAACTCAGCTATCTCCTGCCACTTGATCTGGTCCCAGCTTATTAACAGGCTGTATGATTTAAGCAGCAATATTGCCGACACGCCTAAAACAACATTCACTCACTCACAGTTAACGTTTTGCTACACGAGAAGAGAATAAATTCAATTCAGTTGTTAAAACTGTTCGATGTCGTTTAACAACATCTTGAGCAGGATGTAAATGTGAGAGAGCATCTAGTGTATTTCTTTTTTCAGCATACTTTTGATCCTGTTAAAGATTGCAAACTTTCAACAACCACAATATAAAACTTACTCCAAGTTAATGGGTTTATTTATGACCTGGTCATATCTGTGTATGATATTAAAACACAAGCCACCTAAGCTATTTAGATTAGTCATGAAGATAATCATAGAGCTTTCGGCTTTCTCCCACTGGTGTACCTGCCTCCACATTTTGTCTCTGACCTTGCCTAGTCTCGGTTGGCTGATTCTAAAACTGCCACCCGGAAAAAAAATTCACTTTCAGCTGTGTACATTTCTGAGTTGGCTGAATTCGACTAATCCTTTGAAATGTGAATATCAGAAGTGAATATTATCTGTGAGTATTACATTAAAAGGACCAATATTCCCTTAGAAATCTGATTATTATTATTCATTATTTATGTGTTGAAATCTTATACTTTATATCGCCATAATTTTGAATTGATACTTTTTCTTTTATAGAGTTTATTTTGTGTAATTTCACTGTTTTTCATGTATGGGACTCCAAAAGAAAGTCCAAGGACAAATAAAAATAACCGGGTAAATCCCTAATGTGTATTATTTATTATTTGATTTGCAATTAATTATTGATTATTAATCTTTAATCAGAATAGGCCAATGTGGATAGCATGGTGGTATTGCCCTGAGTGAGTTAGTATGGTTTTACGCCACTCTTAGCAATATTCCAGCAGTATCACAGGAGGGGACACCAGAAATGGGCTTCACACATTGTACCCATGTGGGGAATCGAGCCCAGGCTTTCGGTGTGACGAGCAAGCGCTTTAACCACTAGGTTACCCTGTATTGCCATGAGAGGGAGCGAGACCATCCCCATCAGCTTGAAGGTGGTAGTGTTGCTCTTTGGTAATCAAGACTGTGGACGTGAGGCACAAAAAACAAGGGTTCTCCTAAAATAGGGCTATGTCAATATACAGAATCCCCTCAGTAATCTCCATCTGGAGTCTGGGTCAGACTGCTGGTTCACTGATAGGCACATAGTTTCAGGGAGTTTTATAAACTACAGTTATATTAGCCAGGTTACGGGATTTGACATGGGTTTTGTTGCACAATCACACAGGAATGTTGTAACCTGAATACTTTCTTTACAGCTTTATTTGGTCTGGAGGTTTGTTCTTAACAGCATCTCTCTCTGTTTTCAAGTTAACGCTTTAGTGCACAGTTAAATTTTGGTACATAATATTTTCATTTTCAAGTAACATGCAAATGCTAATTTTTTTTATATATAATAGTGATTTATCTGAACCTGCTCAGGGCCAAGTCTGCAGCAAATGTAATAAAAAATATTTAATTCATGTCAATGAAGTAGTACCTAATGTGATGGCTTGGTTGAGGTGACTTGTATTTCACTGATAACACTTAAGAGGAAGTGGCTGAATTTTACTTTCCTGCATTGAATTCAGTGTGAAGATACTTCCGAATTAAAACCCCCACAATTTTGAACTAAATACCAATTTCGATCCCAGTTCGCTTGCGGGGGGCACTTTAATAGTTTGTCTTTCTAGATTAACCCCTGTATGAATCTTGTAAACAGTTAGTTCTATAAGTAATAAGGTGCTTTGCTGTGTGCCTGGCGAATATTCTGTGCACGGTGAACACTCCAGTATGGAGAAAGGCCAAGGTTATTGTGTAGACATGTGTTTGTCATTTTCCTTGTAAATGTGGAAATGTTATGGTCACAGCAATAACCTGTTGTAAATCATCCCCAAATATCATAATATTGTCAGTTTGTTATCTTCATTGTAGGGTCTTAGAAGAGGTGGTAAAAATATCCAGTTATACACCATATATATGTACGCCATGCTGTATCCCATGTTATACTCCCCTTGTCTAAACATGAATAACATCAATGAAAACAGCAGATTTTTACATGAAGATAGATGAAACAAAAATGTTATTATTCGTTGATATTCAGGAACCGGCTTTGAATCAGTTTGACTTTGTCATGTTATCCTGATGTTACCAGGGTGGCTGAGTGGATCAAGCTTCAAACACCTAGGTTTGATTCCCACACGGTGTGAATCCCACCATGGTGTACCCTATTGTCACAGATGAGGCTGGAGTATTGCTTCGAGGGGTGTGAACCCACACCCTACTCCCTGATGTATTATCAAAGATTACTGTTTGTCTGATCAGGTGAAACAGCACCCTATGAAATACCCAAATTTTATAATATAATTTTAAATATCATGAAACTATACAGCAGTGAAAGTTATGCGTCATTAATTTTGAAACTCTGATTTGAAAGGAAATTTCAACAAATAATCCTTATGTTTTTGAATAGAGGTAAGTGTGATCAAGTCGATCATGTGATACTTGTGGAGGACATGCTTGAACAACTTACCCTTATACACTATAGTAAATCCAGCCACTCAGTCAAGATATAATGAAACTGTTACGAAAAATTTCTCCAAACACAACCAGAAACCAGCCTTGACTGCTAGAAGTGATTTTTCTCCTCAAGTCTCACAGCTCCTAATGCTAACAAAGCAAGCCTGACTGAGGCAACGAGCAGCCTGCATTCTACTGAAGTGTTCACCTTGCCAGCATTATGACAGGTCAGTACTCGTGCCTATTCAGGTGTGCTATGTGAACCTTGGGGCTATCCACAAATACCACATGACTTATAGCCGGAGCCAATGAAGCGCTACTGGATGTGATACCCTGGTCATGGCTCAGTGAGCATCAATGCTAGATATTCCCCAACGTAGGTATAAGCTGTACCGGTACTTACCGCTGTATTGGCTCAGGGTGAAAGGTCCTCGGGTCTGTTTGCCCAGTTGCTTCCGTTGTCCGCTAAGGCTATCCACAGGGTCTTGATACAGTTGTTTGTTATGTGCTCCTTCAGAGAGTGTCTTTAGTTTCGGGAATCCTTGGAGAATTTCACTTCAGGTAAGAATGAATATTTTTGTTGAAATATCTTATGGTCACTGAAATAAGATGAATTACTTTGACTTGCAAATCAAATGAAAGAATATTCAATTTGGAGATAAAATAACTAGTGTAGAAAATACTATAAAATCATTAATGGACATATGCTTGAATAGAATCGCTGATATATGATATTGAAATATGTACAATAATACTTGAATACAATCACTATGTATTAGATAGTGACATGGTCTTAAAGTAAATCTGCAGGAAACTATAAAGTGGAATGAGTATCTGTACCTTGTATTTCACGTGGTTGTGTAGTCGTGTGGTGCGTGGTTTATAGTAACTCCGGTGTGGTAGTAACTCGAGGCAGGCATTATATATACACATAGCGGTGAATGCATCTAGGCGGGGACTCACGGAGTGAGTTCCAGCTACTCCACACACCCACTCGGTGACGAGGATGTCCTACTTCCGGCTGATCACCAACCCTCCACCTCACATGGTGTAATCCTTGTATTGACTTGTAGCTCCTCCCCCCATATTTGGAGTTCCCCTCCTCCCATTACTCCTTCTACACCCCCCCCCAAACTTCCCCTAAACTATTGTTGCACATATCTTATCGAAGTTATTGGTATTTCATTACTCTGTAAAATTTATATGCTGTTAAGTGTTTTTGATATTTGTATCAAGTTTATTGGGGAAGGGGCTTTTGGGGGTCTTTAGCTGACATACCGTATTCAGCTTGGTCTGTGATATTTTTTATTTCTATGTTTTTTTTGTACACAAAGTGTTTTGATTTGGGTAATCTATGTGTCATTTTCACTGAATTTTGTTGTTGTGGAATGTGACTATTGATCATAAGGAACATATACTCACCAGAGAGGCATATATTCACCACCGAGGCATATACTCACCACCGAGGCATATACTTACAAGAGAGGCATATACTCACCAGAGAGGCATATACTAGACAGAGAGGCATATACTCACCAGAGAATCATATACTCACCAGAGAGGCATATACTCACCAGAGAGGCATATACTCACCAGAGAGGCATATACTCGCCAGAGAGGCATATACTTGCCAGAGAGGCATATACTCACCAGAGAGGCATATACTCGCCAGAGAGGCATATACTCGCCAGAGAGGCATATACTTACCAGAGAGGCATATACTCGCCAGAGAGGCATATACTCACCATGGGTACAATGTGTGAAGCCCATTTCATGTGTACCCGGCTGTGATATTGCTGGAATATATTGTTTCACATTTTTATTTAATAGAAGCATTATCATCCACAATTTTCATAAGATTATGGCATATATTTGATTCAAATTTGACATTAATGATTTTCAATCTTAATTAGCATACATATTCAAACTGAATACAGGCAAGGGAATAAAGTAGGATTAATATATACTGCTCAAAAGAAGTTAAAGAACACCATGTTATTTCATATTACTACAGTTTATCATGCCATGACAGATTAGTTGTAGTAATGTGAAAGAATCAGGTGTTCTTTAACTTCTTTTGAGTAGTACATTGCTTTGACCATTAGAGTCAATATATCAGGTTTTCAACTGTATTGCATTTCTTAAAAGTTTATTATTTTAATTATGAACAAATAAAAAGGTGAATTGAAAAGGAGTTGAGCAGAGAAGAAGATATGAAATCATTTCATATGGCTTTGATTTACAGACTCAAATATTTTACGGCACTCCAGCATTTCCTCAGCAGTGACTAACATTCATCCATTTAGATGTCAATGTTCTATTGAATTTCCAAAGTCAAATTATCCATTTCCTTTTAACTTTTTCAAAATTAAAAATAATGTCCAATGAAATTGCCTCTTTCCTTCAATGAGAAATGCTAACTCATTGTGCCCCAGGACGTCCCCAGATAACGCAACACTTCGTGCAGTGCATGTATGGTGAGAGTGTGCGAGTGTTTAGACTGATATCAGATGACAGTTAAACACACCTTGTGAGCCCCTCTTTAGTTTGTGGTCAACCACAGATGACATTCCAAGCCTTTTCATACAACTTCCTGTTTCTCTCTGCCTCCCCCCCCCCCCCCCCCCCCCCTCCCTACCTGATTGCACACACAAAGTCTCACCAAGCCCATTGAGAAATGTATTGGGTTTTCCTCCATCATGTTTTATTAATTTTTAACATCATAACATATAGGGTCTTAATATTTATTATACAATAGAAATACACTGTACCACAATCTGAGTCATTTGAATAACTACCGAGTTGTGAAATTGAAGTTGTGAAAGTGTAATATTATTCAGGAATTTACTTCTTTTTTTTCCCGAGGAAAATGGTGTTGGGAGTACTACAATTACCCCAATTGGCTGACTTGACAGGTTTTTTATCCCCCGCCCAAGTCACGTTTCATTTCCGGAGCATAACTCAGTAACCGTTCAATTTGTTTGTATGAAACTTTGCAGGTATGTCAGGTACATGCTGAACTGGTGCCTTTTGCTATTTAGAAATTTTTATTTTTTACGTTTCCATGGCAACAAGATGGACTTGGCTTCCAAACTCTTCTTTTTTTTACAATTTCCATGACAAGTTCCACCTCGGTTAAAATAGGTTAGGGTTTGTTTAGATTTAATTATGTCATAAATTCTGCAACAGGAGCGGGGGATATAGCCACATTAGTGGCAAACTCTTGTTTTCTTTTCTGAATAATCTTCTTTCAAAAAAATTTAATGTTGTTTTTTTTACATAATTCCAATAAATGCTTAATAACCTTATGCTGACTTTTTTGATATTTTTAATCGCATGGTTAGCCATGGCAGAACTTGTGCTGAATTCCATAAGAGGGCAGTTGGAAGCACAGTGGTTACAGGGTTCACTTGTTACATCAAAGGCCTGGGTTTGATTCCCCACATGGTCATAATGTGTGTAGTCCATTTCTGTTCTCTGGTGTGATATTGTTGCATAAAACCATACTCCAAGGATCCAAAAGTATTCCATATTTACTGACATCATTGATACTTGACATATCTTAAGTAAAACAATGTAGCAGCATAGCTGCATTAGCTGTTCTAATAATAGTAATAATAATAATAGTAATAATAATAGTAATAACAGTATGAAAGCATTTACTTGTTCTCTTAGTGGTATTAACAATATCTTTAAAAACTTAAGATTTAGTTTGAATGTTTCTGTTGATTGTTATATGCTAAAGATTGATGGCATTTAGTGTTGCTTAGACAAATAATATCATTGTTTTCATTGATAAAACTTAGATATAATTGCTATAGATCATTAAATTATGAAAATTGATGACAATTAGTGTGATTAAACTAATAACATTTGCTCTTATATCTGGTGATAAGAATAAGATTTAATTATAAAGGTTTCATAGACTGTTACAGACTAAAGATTGATGATATTTACCTAACACCATCCTTAAGTGTACGTCAGTAGGCTCAGTGTCTCCTTCAACATGAAGAAGGGTGGGTTGCCTTATTCATGTGTAGGTCAGCGCAAGGTTTAACCACCCATTTTCGCTATCAGGGTGGGGAGGTAAAAGGGTGGCAGTTGTGCACGAGCAGGCCTCTCGACCTTCCAACTTTTTGAAATAATTGTCACTTATATGAAACAGAAAAAAACTGTTTCTTTAGACTTGAGCGTTTGTGGAGTGATTGTGGTATACTTAGTTGACATTGAGATACGAGAAGGAGCGATTAGGTAAATGTTATGTGGCTGCTGTGAGCACATGGGTGTTACTGCAACTGTCTGATTTCTGACTTGATGTAGTGTTGAGTGAAACGTTACGTGTTTGTCTGTGTATGTGTTGGGGTGGCTATCTGTATGGGTCTAGAAGCTAGCAATATCAAAGAACAACACTTGTCTATCAGCGCTGTGAAACATGCTCGGGTGGTGCTGTGTATACGGAATCTTGTGTAGGATTATAGGGAGTATTTTTCGCCACCTTGTTTGACATGACAACAACTATGCCATTTAGCGTGGTCCCTAACTTTAGCCAAACACTTGGCAGGGCAGGGATATTGCGTTAATAACACATTATGACTGAAGTTACTTTGTGGCAAATTTGTGTAGAAATCATAGCAGGTACAGATCGCGATGAAGGTATCAGTTTGTGCAGAATGGTTTGTTTAGATTTAATTGGTGAAATATTACATGGTCAACACTTCAAACTCCCACATATATTTGGAATAAATGGCCACCTGCCTATTTTATGACTGCACCTTTCACTAACATTTTGATCGGAAGTAGTTTGCCCGTAGGCGTTTGGGTTCAAAGTTTACCATTTTAGTTCAAAATTTTAATATATTGTGTAAATGGGATTCTTTGTAGTTTGTTATGAGAGCTTAAGATACCACAAACACAGGGCACATACCAGTTTGAAAGGTTTTGATGATGTTTGTTTAGATTTTGTTTGGAAAGCAGCTGAAAGAACTTGTTTTGTCTACTCGGCATATTCTTCAGTAAATGAAGATGGTAATGGATTTGTCATCTGGAGCTGTAAAGTAGTAACATACATGTTCTACATGTTCTTCTGTTTAAAGGGAGACTGTGCCCACACTAACTCATGCTCAGATTAAACTTACCGGGACTTCATATTTTAGCACAGGGCATATTTACAGAAAATAACACTTTTTCTTTTAAAATATTTTACCTGAAATTAAGCCCAGGGCTCAATTTCAGAAGCTTAAGCTTTTTAAACTAAACAGGGGCTGCCCTTTGCCATTTTCCCTGAGGCAAGAGAGTTAACTGACGGTAAAAGTCCAGTTTCCACCCTTGCCGAACTAGGCTGGAATTACTGGGCTCGATCGACAGTTTACGAACCGGATTTCAATTTTGTTGCGCGATTTTGATTGGACTATGCATAGACTTGTCAGCCAAGCCAAAATGTAATCCATAATACCAGCCTTGTTCGGCAAGGGTGGAAACTGGACTTTTATAGTCAGTAAACTCTCTTGCCTCGGGAAGATGCCCTTTGCTGAAAAAAATAAAT